ATGTTATTTTATATAATATAGAAACACAATTACAATAACGTACAACTTTATTGATTGGTAATCTGATGCAATTGTTTTCAAATCAGAAATATCTAATTTAAAGTTAATCATTCGTCTTAGACAATCAGCTCTATATTCCTGAGACTGTATTAGACGAATCTAAGACAGGGCGTACCAGCTCTTCGTCAACAAATCATGACACGACACCAACAGAGTCTTACTTTAGTGCTTCCCTACCAAGCAAAAGACAGCGACAGGGAATGTCCCCACGTCCACCGAACGCAAATGTTCCACCGACTTCTGGCCGATAGGGGGTTGGTGCAAGAGGACTATCGGTATCTAAAAACAAATCGACCAGTAATGGAACTGTTAATAGTGAATATAAATAGAACAACGCTAGCTTAACGTTTTGTTTCTTAAATGTTTGTGGGCTGAAGAAAAGAGTGTTGTCTCCGGATTACATTGACATTTTGCTTGGACATGATATCTGTATTTTTGTTGAAATGATGTTTACTGACTCAGGTAATTTACACCTGCCAAACGATTATATTTATGTTTTTGGACTTTTTAATGCCTGTGCTGGCTTTATCGCTTCAAAAAGATTCGAAATGCCTTCAAATATATACTAACTAGAAATTCTTTTTGAACACATGTTCAACGCAAAAATCAGTAAAAAAAGCTCCATTGAATATGGCAGAAGGATATTTTTTACTGATTTTTGCATTGAACATGTGTTCAAGAAGATTTTTCTAGTTAGCTGATATATGAAGACCTTTCTAATCTGTTTGAAGCGATAAAGCCAGGACAGGAATTAAACATAGTCCAAACGTTTTACGTTTTTACAGATACAGTTATTTAGATACTATAACAGATACGAACCATGATTACAAATGTAAGATCATACATTTCGCCCTTATTCCCCCACCCCAAGCTTGGCTTTTACAAAGTTTAAAAGTAAATCTCAACGGACTTTGGTGCCGCATTTCTTCCGAAATTTGTGTTTTCATAAACCCTTCTATGTTTATTTTTCATTTAAACAACCCCATTCTATTTTTATAGGTCCGAGCCTATTATCCACTAATCAGGCGCTGATCCAACCATTTTTAAGATGGGTTCCAACACATGCAAGTCATATGAAAAGGGGGGTCCCAACCATATGTCCTCATACAAACGCATTAGTGTCAAACAAAAAGGGGGTTTCAACCCACCCCTACCTATGACTAATGATCACTGACTAGAACATTGTATGATTATAATTATTCAACATGTATATGAAATAAATTCTCGTTCAAACAATATCATATAATCACTTACTTCTGAAGACGAATGATTACGTTTAGATATTTCTGATTTGAAAACAAATTGCATCAGATTATAATTCAATAAAGTTGTACTTTATTGTATTTTGTATATTATATAAAAGAACTGGAACACTTAAATGCGTATAAATAATAAAATATTGGGTTCGAGTTGGTAAAAGTACGAGTTGGTAGAAACACGGGGTGGTAAATATTGGGTAAGAGTTGGCTAAGATACGAGTTGACATGGATCCACAGCGACCTCGTGCGGAATATTGTAGAAATATTTCATTCTTGATTTGTAAAACTTCTTGATTTGTAAAACTTGTTGATTTGTAACTTGTTGATTTGTAACTTGTAGTTTTTCTTGAGAAACGGAACCTCTCATTAGCTGGCAGCGGTAACAATTAATTACCTTGACACATTCTCCCAAAACGTGACTCAAACAAAGAAATTACATTTCATAAATTAAGAAATGTAGAATTTCATGTAACGAACGAAGAAAATACGTTAACAAATTAAGAAATTGCATTTACACATTAAGAAGTTACATTTCACAAATCAAGAAATGTAGAAATTCATGTGAAAAAAGATGGAAAAAATACACATATTAAAAATTAAGAAATTATATTTTGCAAATTAAGGAAATTGCATGTTACAAATTACAAAATTGCATTTTACAAATTAAGAAATGTATATTTATGGCGGATAGTCCCTTCCATCTAAAACATCTAAACATTCACCTATTGAAAGTGGAGAAATGGTATCTAAGCGGGATAAATCTATATAAAGTAGTCTTTATCTATTCCTATACAGTTATGAACAAGTATGGTCCTACATCATGCCGATACTTATTTTTTGGCATTGCATATGAAGGTCATGTTTTTCTCAGACTGTTTATGACGTCTAATTATTATCATATGTAACTCCGCCACATTCTGTATGTGTCTGTCTAAAGTCAGGAGCCTGTAGTTCAGCGGTTGTTGTTGGTTCATGTCGGTCACGCTGCTGTTTTTGTTAATCATAAATATTGCCATTTACGACCAAAAGAACAGTACGGTTGCCTATGATTGCTTACATCCACTGCAATTGAACTTTGGTGGATAGTTGTCCCACTGGCAATTATACCACATCTTATTTTTTAAGTCTAATTTATGACAGACGTGAACCAATTACAACCACTGACATACAGGCTCCTGATTTTGAACAAGTCATGCATATAATGAATGCGGCGGTGTTAAACATGTTTGTGAACGCTCAACCCCCCCCCCCCCCAACCCCCCCCCCCCAACCCCCACCCCACCCCGACCTGGGACTGTGGTTTGACAGCACAACATAAGAAAAAACTGTAATAAGCAGTTTACCTCATTTTCAAGGTCTATTGATCAACGTTGAGTTTAATGCTTTGATACTTTAAGTGTACTAGTAGGTAAGCTCTTATAATGTAAATAATGATTGTAGGGGTAAGGTTTGTGTTACAAGATTCTTTTGTTTTGACATCATTTTCATGGTTCATTGATCAATGTTGAGTTCTTATGATTAAATCCGTTTCTCAGACAAAGTGAAAAAGAAGTTGAAGAAAACTGACATTGCCAATGCAAAAAACGTTAAACGACGAAAAAACACCACATAGGAATCTAAACACTGAACAACACGAACCTCTTCAAAACCCGGAGTAAACACGGGGGCTCCGGAAGGGTAAGCAGTTTCTGCTCCACATATGGCATCCGTCGTGTTGTATAAATCCGATGATAAGTCTCTCATTCAGTGAATTGTTTGCTGAAAAACACGTTACCAAAGTATCAAATATGTTATCAATAAAACAATTAAGCATCTTGATGATGTCAGTTTCAAAGAATTTTGTGTTTGATGCAAAGTGTTTTTTTTTTTAGAAAGTATAATTTTTACCCGTTCATTAAGAAAGATATTTGTAAGTATGCTAGCCATTTTTTTTAAGAAACAAAGTAAGACTATTTCTTTCAATCTGTCTTCAAGTTAACAACGAGGTATACTAGTGTAATGGGTAGAGAAATCAAATGTTTCATACTATTGCAAGAGGAGAGACTGAGGATGCTAGTTATTCTGAAGCACTTTTCTTAATTTACCTTAACAAGAAACGCTTAAACCCAAATATATGAAAACCAGAGATGATAAACACTATTTACATCAGCTATATGTTCAAAAATAATAAAACAAAAATTAGTAAAATTCATCAAAGTCCAACTGAGGAGTTGGTACATTTAGTTTTTAAATAATTTCTAAATTAACCAATTTAATAAAGGTATGTTATAAATCATCTCATTACCGTAGCACCGACTTCTGGGCTGATGATAGCAGTTAACCAGCAACGGATAAAGAATAATCAACATACAATTTTTTGTGATTAGGTCATGTTCTTTGAAACTTCTAGTTGCAATTCAATTATATTTGTAAAATAGTAGGTATTACGAGATACATATATCTGTCTGACAAAGTTTAACTGCGATTGAACTTATGTTCAAAGTCCATTAAGGTTAATTTGTTTGTGCTTTGATACTTGAAATAATAGGCCAACCTTATTTGGTGAAGATAATTAAATGATTATCAGGGGTAAATATTTATCTGACAGGGTTCATCTGACCTACACCTAATTTTATAATTTTTTTTTTATCAAAATGTTGGTTTTTTATGATATGATCAGTTCCTTAGATACTTAACGTCCTATGTTTACATAAAGTATATTTTACATATAAAAAAGTGTACAGAAAAATAAGAGGGAGTACATGTCTCTCTGACATAATTCTCGAATAAAGTTATATAATAACGCCCTGTTTTAATTTGTTCTGAGTCTTTTCGGGAAACGCGGATTGCGGTAACGATACACAACTTCCAAAAAAAATGCAACAGTAGTATACCGCTGTTCGAAATTCATAAATCGATTGAGAAAAAACAAATCCGGGTTACAAACTAAAACTGAGGGAAACACATCAAATATAAGAAAGCGTCTTATTAAGTATAAGTGAATTGAATAAATAAAGATTGGCATTTATATCAAGAATCGTTGATTTGAAGAGCCAAAAACATAAAAAAAAGACACTTTATGGAATCTTTTACACTGAACCTGAAACGCTAGATAACACAGATACAGACACTCTACTGTTTAGCATTCATCTATAGATTGGCAGATAGTATCAATTGACAAATAAACTTTACGACAAAAGTGATGATTTCAATTTTGCCATTGTGAACTTCGCGTTTTTGTCTCTCCTGTGACAAAAGTGTCAAAACACTTGCTACATGGATGCTTATCCTCCTGCAGCATCAACGAGTGATCTATTTGTATAAGGCTTTTTTATTTCAGAGGGTAGGAGACCTAGATATTTTTAATCTGTCTCAGTTGATACGATATTCCAGGGCTTGTTTTTCCTACTATGATTTCCTTGACAGGGGGTTGCTGCTCACAAGGAAGCTTCTTAACCAAGAGTACAAGTGGTGAAGTTGAAATCATCCCTTCATAAATTTTATGGACGCCATCACGAGTTGGTTGACCGTATTGGAATATCTGTTTCCCGATGAAGACGGATATGTTCCAATTGACGTAACTACAATCCCGTCACCTTTCCCCCGAATATTTTTCACTTATATTGAGTAATAAGATTTTGTACATTTGGTACATTTGGTGGAAGGTAGCATCAAGATCCGCATTGGGCCAAAGAAAATGAATTTTTCGAGACATATTACACATTTTCTTAAAATATATGTAAATGCATAAGCTGAAGAAATATAAACGAATAACACAAGATGTTTTATGTTATGGTGTTACGATGTTATCAAATCGAGTATTTTCATGAAAATGTAGGAACATGTGCAGTTCATACAGTTTTCAACCAACATATCCTTTGTGAAAACATCATGCGCAGTCGAGAAACAGCAAATGATTTTTACGAAGCTTTATCATAGCTACTAACGTTATTTTTCCAAATACAAAGTTGTTACTTTGTTTTGCACATGTATACTTTTCAAATACAAAATACACTTAAAATCTATATTTTCTTACAAACTTTGCAAAGTTGAAATTGTTTGTTTTAACGAAAGAAGAGAGATAGTTTCATTGATAATATTTATCTAGTCTTTATAGCTTGCTGTTCGCTGTGAGCCAAGGCTCCGTGTTGAAGGCCGTACTTTGACCTATAATCATCAATAATGGTTTACTTTTACAAATTGTGACTTGGATGGAGAGTTGTCTCATTGACACTCATGCCACATCTTCTTATATCAATTTACAGTTATCAATGTTTATTACGAAATCCACCTTTATACCCGACAGGTTGAAGGCGAACAACAAAACAATATACACAATACAAACATTATACAATACCAAAACATCATATATCAATAGTAAAAAAATTGTAGTAATTATGCAGGTGTGGCGTCCACTCTCCATTTGTGCAAATGACTTTTAAATGAACGGAACAGTAAGCTACATTATATCAAATGACGATAATTGCAATCTTTCTTTTTTGGATGATTCCATAAATCCTGGATGAATATCATTTATGTCTTTTTCAAGCTGTGTTCGTAAAGATTTATTAATAAGACATGTTAAGAAATAATGGGTTTCATCTTTAACCTCACTAATATTACATTGTTTACAAATTCTATTTCTCGTAGAAATTATTTTACAAAAGCAAATGCGTAAGCCTCGTAACGAATGAGAAGGAATGAGAACTTGTCTGTATGTGGCATAATGACAAAATAAATTACTAAATGTTTCATAATACGGCAAAGTTAACATTCTTTGTTGTAACCATTAATACATCAGTCGCTTTCCAAATTAAGTTGCTGAAGTATTTTTTTGTATTTTTCCATTTTGCAATGTTTGTTACTAGTCTTTTATGTATATAGATACCTCCTAGTATTAATGCAAGTTATTCCTTTTCTAAATTCTTGAATATAGTATTTCAATTTTGTTAGACTCTTGCTTTTCACATATATATGTGACAATGTTGAAGAAACCGTTAAATGTTGCTTTATCTAGAGGTGTTAAACCATCTTCATTGCAGATGTTAACATCGCAGCCATTAGATATCAGCAACTCAACTGCTTCATAAAAACCCATCTCACACGCACAAAAGAGAGGTGTGCGCTTATTGGCATCACACAAGTTTAAGTTACAACCTCCTTTAATTAGAATTTGTGCTATTCCAATGTTGTCACTACCAACAGCAATGTGTAGCGGGGAAAGTCCGTAAATATTGACAGTATTCATGTTGCAATTTCTCTGTATTAAATGTTCAACAATTTCTGCACATCCATGCACACATGCTACGGCCAAAGGAGATTCTTGATTATTATCCAATTTATCGATATCGCAACCATCTATGATCAAAAGAAGCTTGACAATGTCAACATGTCTCTTTCTGCATGCCATATTAAGCGGGGTTTGTTCTTCAAGGTTAATAATATTCACATCGCAGCCGTGAGAAATAAGCAATTCAATACAAGGCTTTTGATAGTTTTCAATTGCCAAACTTAAAGGTGTTTGATTATGAATGTCGCATACGTTGATGTCACAATCGTTCAAAAGTAATAACTCAACTATTTCAACAAATCCCATCGCAGCTGAAATATGTAATGCAGTCATTCCATGAATATTAGCAGTGTTTATCTTACAGCCGTGTAATGCCAAAAGACGTACAATGTGTGTGTTACCCCGTTCACAAGTTGTTGTAAATGCAGTGTTATTCATGTTGTCCAAGAGGTCGATTTCACAGTAATTGTTATTCAAAAGAAGGTCAACTATGTCATCATATTCCTGCGAACAAGCTATTTGCAAAGGACTTTGACCTTCAATATTACTGCAATTTTTATCGCATTGACTTTCAACAAGTAATTCCACACACTCCGTACTTCCATTTCGACAAGCAAGAAATAGCGGTGTTTCTTTTAAATCATTCCTCTTATTCAAATCACAGGCTTCACAGTTGAGTAAAACTTCCAGGAAATCACAATCGTCATTACTACAAACTAAATGCAACAAAGTATTACCTTTAATATACGAAAGATTAACATCAGATTTATATTGTATGAACATTTTTGCAATATCTAGCTTATGTTCAAAATATGCATAAAGTAGAGGTGTGACCCCCGTGTCTTCCATTAAAAAAGTTTTGTTAATATTGATAGCATTTCCAGTGTCAAGTAATACTCGAGTCAAATCTTCCCGTCCCAATTCAACTGCGGTACAAAGGGGGCCGTTTATAGATTTCATTAAAAGATCGTTTTGAATCTCGTCGTCGTCAGTATTTATTTGTGTGTCACATAATACATCCCACAAAACACCATCTGCGAATGACTCTGTTGTAGTTGTGTTTCCACAGTGTAGTCTTTTTAATCTTTCTTCTATAAGAAAAGTATTCAAGATATCGCAGTTGTTTGATGCGCTCAAAACCAATGCCCACAAATTTCCAGTAAAAATAGAGAAAGTGTCACATTGTTTAGACAACAATGATATCAGTTTTTGTTGGTAATAAGTTGTTGTTGCTATTACATTGCGGAAAACAGTCCAAAATGTTCGACTTCTTATTTCTTCTTTGATTCTTTGAAAGTACAGCTCTTCTTGATCTTCATCAAGCATAATTACAAAATCGTCTGATTCATTAAAGACTTTTAAACTCATTCGTTCTGCAATGAAAGTTCTATTTCCATAACTCAGGATAGATTTCACTAACATTTTCCCGATGAAAAATGCAATAAAATCGAACACCTTATCATGTATCGCTGAAAATGAACATTCGCTCTCTTTAACAAATGTTCCTTTTAGTGTTTGTAGACTTCGCAGAACGGATAATTTAGACGGCTTCTCCGACATTTCTAGTTCTTCATACACTTCTTCAAACATATCATTAAATATTTTGTTATCTCTATCTTTAAATAAACTTGTCTTCAAATTGTTGTTAAACAGAACAAGTAAAGCAAGACCGAAAAAGCACTCTTTATTACCCGCGGCCATTTCATCTAATTCTATTTTAAATATATCATACGGCTTTTTAAAAAATTCAGGATTAAATGTAGTTCCCGATGATAGTTTACAAAGAAGAGGAAACAAATCCGTTTTAGAGATAACTTCGTCTCCTATTAGATCTATATATTCTTGATTTAAATGACATAATCCGATTTTACGTTTCTCATTCAAATCTAATGCCAGTTCATCAGAGAGAAGATCACATTCTTTTATTTTAAATGCCTGAATCAATTTTTCAAACTGTTTAGTTTTGCGTATATGCAGCCTGCAAGTTGCAACGATATGTATCGTATCTTCCGCTTGACTGACAAGTTTAGAAATTGATTTTTTAAAATTCATCCAAGAGGCAACACTGTGATTGTTAATGGCAAATTTCCCGCATATATCATCAATGATGACTATTTGTTTTCGTCCAAATTTACAAAATTTCAAAATATCTGAAGGCTCATTTATTGGCAAAATTTCATATCCCATCATATTACGAAATAGTAACGCAATGTGATAGGCTGTAGCACTTTTTCCCATTCCTCCACTACCACTGATTACAACAAATGGTGTCTGCTTTACGCTTTCCAAAATCTTTTGAACAGCAGACGTCACAAAGAATTTTTCATCGTCTTGTTCCCAAGCAGCAACTTCTGATAAAAGGTTATCTATAACCAATAAGTTTACATTAAAAAAATTTATGGTGTAGCAAAATGGATATATAAAGACCTTAATGTTTACTGACTATTAAAACACTTTAACTCAGGTGTACCTGACGAATGTTGATAAGAGAGCTCGGCCAATTTGAAACATACCCAAACGCATCAAATACGTTGACGTATACGTATCTGAGGATATATTTAAATAGTATGACCATGATTTTATGTATATCGATGTACTCTTTATAGAGAATAATGGCGATTAAACTTGGTTCAGTCTTTAGTTTTCTGTATTGTGTTTTTTTACTGTTCTTTGTCTTTTTGTCGTTTTCCGGTTTTTGCCATGGCATTGTCAGTTTGTTTTCGACTTATCCCTTTGGTATCATTCGCCTCTTCAAGTACGACTATTTAAGTACTACTAAGGTACGCTCGATTTTGTGACTCAGCACGAGGTTTCTTTTAATTGGAAAGGTTGTTTAGGGCTTTTTGTAAACAATAAAGGCTAGCACAACATGAACAAATAAGTGAGTAATCTATGTTTCAAATTTGATGACGAAAATTTAAGTAATCATGTTTGGGGATTTCCTGTGTTTTGTGTACTATTGTTTGTCCATTGGTCTTTTTCTTTTTTAGCCATGGCGTTGTCTGTTTATTTTCGACAGATGAGTTTGAATGTCCCTCTGGTATCTTTCGCCCCTCTTTTTTCTCTCTGTTAGAATCTTGGCATGAAGAGTAACTAAATCCATATTTTCTATTAGATACAATGAAACGATAAATATAATTCCCGTGAACGACGTTTTCCTTTGGTATATTTACAACATTGCACATATCTTTTATTCACTACACTGATATTATTGCACTATAAAAATTTCGTAATACACAACCTACAGAAGGGATCATAAACATTAATTTGCATTTAGTTAATTTTCAAATGCCTCACTTAAATTTCGGACTACTAGTATATAGTTGCGAATTGTTTTGTTTCAATTTCATATGTCGTACTACAAAAAATGTATTCCTTAGTGAACTATGATTGAAAATGTATAGGAGCTGCAATTTCAAGGTACGTGGCACTGATTGTAGTAACAAAAAAATTCTAAAGTCCAATTATCTTGCATCTGGAACATAACCAAATAGAATGGACCTTATTTTGAGACACACCGAATATAGAACAAGAATAGGGCAATGCATTTGAATTTCCAAATGGCATGTTCCTAGAAAAAAGGTTATGCAAGATTTAGAAATGAAGCAAAAACAACTCGTTATCGGGAAAAGGAAAACCCATGAAAGTAACTAGCCTGAGATTAGAAAAGGAAGCAGAAAGTGTGAAATCCCATCAGCAATTGCAAGGTGCGGTAGTAACTTTTTTGGCTATACTAATCAAGTCCACTATTTTAAAAAGAAAAGTACTCCAAGATGATTAATGAACACGTGAGAAAGTGAAGTAGATCTATTTTTATAGAACTTTGCTAATAAAACGCATGTATTATATTCATAGGACCTGACCTGAATAGTACGCTTGACGTTTTTAATTATTGTACGATACAAAACATGCACGTAAAAATCGGGATAGTATGTTGTGTTTGATTTATTTCCAGATACGTAACGTCAACGTATCTGATACCAGTGGATATGTTTTGAATTGACCGACCTATAATATCAATTATTAAGTGAAAGGAAAGCACGTGATACATTTTAGCCACAACTTGGTTGTACCGCTGCAGATGGAATTTTAGTCCCAGTGGGTACCAATGCTTTTTGAAGTGGAGTAAGTTCATTTATACATTTTTTATTTATGAAATTGTGCTGTTATACATTATTGGGGTCGTCGCCCTCTTCTTGTCGACTTGTTTCTTTATTATTATGAGGCTGACTTCATACAGGAACTTCTAAGGAAGAAAGATAAGAAGTTAGCAATATCCTTTAACTTTACGTTACGCTATATAGATGATGGTTACTCACTAAATAATACAAAATTTGGTGACTATGTTGAACGAATCTATCCCATCGAACTAGAGATAAAGGATACTACAGATACAGTTAAGTCTGCCTCATATCTTGACTTACATCTAGAAATTGACAATGAGGGTCGGTTGAAAACAAAACTTTACGACAAAAGAGATTATTTCAGCTTCCCAATTGTGAACTTTCCATTTCTATGTAGCAACATTCCAGCAGCGCCTGCATACGGAGTATATATCTCCCAATTGATACGATATTCCCGGGCTTGTATTTCCTATCATGACTTCCTTGATAGAGGATTGCTGCTCACAAGGAAGCTATTAAACCAAGAGTTCCAAATGGTGAAGTTGAAATCATCCCTTCGTAAATTTTACGGACGCCATCACGAGTTGGTTGACCGTTATGGAATAACCGTTTCACAGATGATATCGGATATGTTCCTTATGTCGTAACTACAATACCCTTCCCTTTTCACGAATGTGACCTACCGAATTAGACTATTTACCGGATTTGAAATACCATAAGCAACACGACGGGTGCCACATGTGGAGCAGGATCTGCTTACCCTTCCGGAGCACCTGAGATCACCCCCAATGTTTGATGGGGTTCGTGTTGCTTAGTCTTTAGTTTTCTATGTTGTGTCATCTGTACTATTATTTGTCTGTTTGTCTTTTTATTTTTGGCCATGTCGTTGTCAGTTTGTTTTCGATCTATGAGTTTGACTGTCCCTCTGGTATCTTTCGTCCCTCTTTTATTGGATTGTAAAATAACAGAAAACAATAGATCTATATTTAAAAAATATTAAAATACAGGAAAGCAATTCATGTGTTACGCTTCATTTAAAAGATAAATAATATATGTCATTTACTAGCCTAGGCTACATAAAAATATAGCTTTAGGTGGTCGAATGGTCTATGGCGCTGGACACGGTGCAAGCGGTGTTGCCACGATGTCACAGAAGCAAAGGTTCGAATCCCGCTGAGGGAAGAATAAAAATTTGCTAACGCAAATTTGAAGATCTAACATTGTTGGGTTAAATTTGAGAAAAATTATATATATATTATGGTGATAGCCATGTATAACCACGTCTTATCCGATGGAGAATGTCTTTCATAAAGTTGTCATGTTTAGACGTGTAAATTAAAATTAAAATTTGATGTGGCGGCATGGTAATTAACATTACCATCCCTTACGACAGACAGTGGACTATGGCGGTGGAGGCGGTGGACACGGTGCAGGCGGTGTTGTCACGATGTCACAGAAGCAAGGGTTCGAATCCCGCTGAGATAAGAACAAAAATTTGCAAACGCAAATTTGCAGATCTAACATTGTTGGGCTTAATTTGAGACGAATTATATATATAGTATGGTGTTAGCTCTATATAACCACGTGTTATCCGACCGAGAATGTCTGCCATAAAGTTTAAACGTGTATATAGACATTAATTGTCGAAATCCGGATATGGTGTACTAATTTTTGCACCTTATGTTTGCGGTATACCATCTTTTCCGCAAGTTTATTGTTTTCTGTTTAGTATTAAATTTAAAATTAAGACCCATTTATTACATCGGTGATCCGTTTATTTGGCAATCGCCAATGGCAGTCAGCAGGATTTAAGAACATTTGTTGTTCGACCTGTTAGTCAAATGCGTTTTGTTAAAATATACTTTCTCACTTTTTTGGTCTTTTGGAAAATGTTGTTTGTGCTGTATTTAGACCCCTCTAACAAGAAATTTGTTTTGCATGCACACGTATAAAAATTGCGATTTTTATCCAACGCAATCATAGGTTTGAACGTTGTTTTCAATTTAGACTTGTTTATATTTTTTCGTTTGGGCTTGTATTATATTTTTCCCTTTGGGTTTATATGATCCGTTCATCCTATTTTGACTCCTCAAAATTCAAGAGTCTATCCTAAATTGAGGTAAATTGTATGGCTTTCCAAATACTGTTTCGATTCCTAATATCACTGAAGAGACATCCATTGTCGAAATCCGGATATGGTGTACAAAAACCTGTGCACCTTTTATTTGCGGTATACCATCTTTTCCGCAAGTTTATTGTTTTCTGTTTAGTATTAAATTTAAAATTAAGACCCATTTATTACATCGGTGATCCGTTTATTTGGCAATCGCCAATGGCAGTCAGCAGGGTTTAAGAACATTTGTTGTTCGACCTGTTAGTCAAATGCGTTTTGTTAAAATATACTTTCTCACTTTTTTGGTCTTTTGGAAAATGTTGTTTGTGCTGTATTTAGACCCCTCTAACAAGAAATTTGTTTTGCATGCACACGTATAAAAATTGCGATTTTTATCCAACGCAATCATAGGTTTGAACGTTGTTTTCAATTTAGACTTGTATATATATATATATATATAGATTGCCTAACAATGTAATTTTAAAACACTATTTAGTATGTAAATATTAGAATGTTTAAAATATTTACAAAACGATAAAAATAAACGCAATATTTCGCTAGACAAACTAGCTTTATCAAGCGTGCATCTATCCAGGTGAAATCGGATGTAGATGATAAGAAACTTTTGCAGCTCAATGTACATGTTGCACATGAATTTAGCATGCCTTGTAAATAATACATAATGTGGATGAAGTTCAAGATTATATACAAAATTGGTGGTTGAAGTTTGCAACGTCCATTGGCCAATATTACAGGATAAAAAGGACGATGCTGTGTATTAAATTATTCTTTATCTTTCCTGTATCTCTTCTCGTCTTTTTCGTTAAGACCATCCGGTTCTAAAGTGTGGAGCTGGTGGATCCAAAAGTTTTCTCTTCTCCTTCTCGCCGTGGTGTCCCACTCGGTGTTGACTTCTATGATTTGGAAAGTAATATTATCAAAAGGATGTTTCTTTGGGCGAAGATGTCTTGTGAGAGGACAGTTTTTGTTGGTTTTGTACCATGAACGATGGTTATTGAGCCGAATATTGAATTTATCCATTGTTTCTCCCACATACTGAATGCCACAAGTGTTACATATTAATATATAAATTGAGTTCTACGTTTTACAGTTTGAATTTGAGTAGATGGTATAATTTTGTTTAGTAACGGAGCTGATGAAAGAACTGCTTGTATTGGCAGCTTTACAACATAAGCAATTCCTTCGACCACATTGTTTGTAGCAACCGGGAGGTGGAGTAGGCTGCTTTGCTAATACAGATGTCACTAATTTGTCACGAATGTTTTTAGGTCTTCTGAAGGCCATGACTGGTGGTGAGGAAAATACTTTCTTTAGATTTGAGTCATTTTCTATAATTTCCCAATGCTTCTGAACAATGGATGACACATTTTTAAAATCAGGATGGTAAGTGAGTACAAGAGGTGTTCTGTTGACTTCTTTATTCTTATCCTTGTACTCTAGAAGTTCTTGGCGACTAGTTTTATTGCTCTTTCGAAAGCTGTATCAATGATGTTGTTATTGTATCCTCGAACAACTAGATGTTTACGTAGTTGTCCAAGTCTAGCATTTTGCTACCATTACCACGGGAGCAGTGTTTAGGATGGCAACTTTTAGGAGAAAGGAATTGATGTTTGTCCGGGTTTTTTTGGTATGAAGGTCCGTTATAATGGTTCCGTTCTTGATGTAACTCGTAGTATCAAGGAAGTTTATTTTCTCCATAGATGTTTCGTATGTAAATTTAATTGAATGGTGGAAAAAGTAACAGTGTTCTAGAAATTCATTAAGATGGTCTTGCGAATCTCTCCATTTAAAATCAATATCGTCAATGAATCGAAATCATGATAATGGCTGGTATGGAGCACTAGCCAAGAGGCGTTTTTCAAGTTGGCCCATAAATATGTTGGCATATGACGGGGCCATTTTTGTGCCCATACTAGTGCCGTCTATCTGGAGATAGTGTTTGTCATTGAAAGGGAAGTTGTTGTTCTCCAGCACTAGTTTCAGAAGTGTAACCAGGCACTCAGTTGGTGGATTTTTTTCACTACGAGTGTCCCATGCCTCTTCATACGCTGCTATTCCTTCGTCTTGTGGAATGTTGGTATATAAAGAAGATACGTTCATGGATGCGAGTATAGTATTGTTTGGTAGGGGATTGAGGCTTTCCATTTTCTTTAGATAATCAGTCGTATCCTGAATGTAAGAGGGTAGTTCTTTAACATGAGGTCTTAAGTGATGGTCTACAAATTCGGATATCTTTTTAGTTGGGTGACTATTCGCTGAAACAATTGGTCGACCAGGATTGCCCGTTTTGTGTATTTTAGGCAACATATGGAATCTTCCAGCCTTTGCTTCGTTCTCAAGAGGTCGAAGATAATCAAAATTGTCATTATCGATATGCTTTTGGTCGTACATCTCATGAAGGATGGTGTTGAGCTTTCGAATGGTATTTAGTGTTGGATCTGTGGTTAATTGTTTATAAAAAATGAAGTAATCTGTTTTATTCATGACAACCACAGCGTCCCCTTTGTCATCAGGTTTTATTACAATATCCTCTTGTTCTTTTAACGCTTTCAAAGCGATGCTTTCTGACTTGGATAAATTATAACTTCTTTTATTTGTTATACAGGACTCTATATCAGACCTCACGTAGTTAATAAATGACTCCAAGTTATCGTTTTTACTTTTTGGTGGTTTCCATGAACTTTTTTTCCTAAATTGTGGCATGGGCCTGACTTCTTCATTGGTCTCAGTATCTGAATCTGTTAATCCGGCTTCTTCAAGGTGTTTCTTGCCCTATTGTAGAAAAAATCTTTCAAGCGTAAACGTCTAGCGAATTGGTCTAAGTCCTCGTCTAGCTGGAAGTTATTAACATTTGATGGGGTAGGACAGAAGTTTAAACCTTTACTTAAAAGAGATTCTTCAGCAAGTGTCAGTTCTCTAGATGACAAATTTACAACAATGCTTTCAGTTTTTTGTTTCCGTCTTTTAAATTTTCTTTTTCTAGGGGCCTTATGGTTTGTTGTATTGATATCATTAATATGCTGATTTAAAGAAACAGTGTGAACTTTATCTCTTTGAAATTTATTCCTTTGTTTTTCTTTATGTTTGGACATAAATTTACTTTCCAAATCATAGACGTCAACACCGAGTGGGACACCACGGCGAGAAGGAGAAGAGAAAACTTTTGGATCTACCAGCTCCACACTTTAGAACCGGATGGTCTTAACGAAAAAGACGAGAAGAGATACAGGAAAGATAAAGAATAATTTAATACACAGCATCGTCCTTTTTATCCTGTAATATTGGCCAATGGACGTTGCAAACTTCAACCACCAATTTTGTATATAATCTTGAACTTCATCCACATTATGTATTATTTACAAGGCAGCTAAATTCATGTGCAACATGTACATTGAGCTGCAAAAGTTTCTTATCATCTACATCCGATTTCACCTGGATAGATGCACGCTTGATAAAGCTAGTTTGTCTAGCGAAATATTGCGTTTATTTTTATCGTTTTGTAAATATTTTAAACATTCTAATATTTACATACTAAATAGTGTGTTAAAATTACATTGTTACGCAATCTATAATTTTATTTGTGTAATTGTATTAATCTCTGTACTGATTAATCCACACTCCCATAGATTTGTATGTCATGTGTTGTTATTTATCACTGGGTCGATACCGTTGCTGGTGGACTATCAGTCCCCGAGGGTATCATCAGCTGAGTAATTCGCACTTCGGTACTGACATGGTTTATAACTTAACTTTCCTTAATTGCCCGTTTACAAATATATAGATTATTAAGAAACTAAGGTTCGAACTACCTTAGATAAAGTTGACCTTAGATGGATTTGGCTTTTATTTTTATGTCATTTCTTGGTCGTAAAGTTTTTTAATTGTGTCCGTTCTCAAACATCTTTGGTTTTCAAAATATTCGACTTTGAGCGTTCCTGGTGAAGGTAGATTCAGAAAAGCGCTTTGGACGCATACAATTTATATAGTGTTATTTGCATATTTTTTTTTTAATCATTAGTTGTAATTGGCTTTGAACTATCTTACAGAAACTGCGAATTCTCTTAGATCGGTATATTGTGTCTTTGTTTTCATCTTAATATTTTTGTTGTCAGTCTTATTAACCTTTTAAGTAAAACAATTTCCAGCTGATTTTGACATGCGCCTCTTATTCAGGGAATGTTGTTGGTTGCTGTTTTTTTTATATATTTATATATTGCTGTTTTTTATATATTTATATATATATTTGTTAATTTTTTTTTTATAATCATGCCGTTGGTTTTTTCGTTTGATTGTTTCACATTTTGTCATGTTGGGGCCTTTTGTCTGACTACACAGTATGGTTTTTTGCTGTAAAGTGACCTACAGTTGCTAACATTTCCATAGCATTTGGTGGATAGCTATCTCATTAGCAATCATATTAGATCTAATTAATGGTATATAATAAAAATGTTTTCACATGGCACACGATGGAAAACTGTTGAATTTCGGGTCAACACCAAAATTGCATAATATGAAATTCAATCATCCAACAAACAGTCTTGCCAAATTTTGTTTTATTCGGCCCATCCATTGTTTAATGGTGATTTTTCAAGGGAAAGTTTACTTAAAAGTTAAGAACGCGTGAGAGAGTCACAGTAAGATACAACCATGTTGGCCTGAGATTTTGTAAATATCCAAATTTTGAAACAATATCCTTTACCATCCTTAAGGCATTAACAATATAATTTGTTAATCTGTTTAATGTCACAATCTAATTTTGGTATTGACATTTCTCAAAGATATTACAGAATAAACTAAAAAAATGCATCCCCGAAACTGCAGGCAAGTGACTTGGAGTAGTATGTCTATTTTCAATGTTCTAATAAAAATATACACTTCATCGAACATTCACCTGTTTAAAACGTGAAAGGTAAAATTAAATACAAGAATAATTTTCAATGTACTGTATTTGCAAATAACAAATGCCTTAATTTTTCATGCACTTTAACAATTTTTATTGATACTATTCTAACTAAGGTCCTTAGCACCGCACTTGAAAGCGGCTAGATATAAACAAAAGTCCAAACATTAAGACAATGTTAACCTCTTTTTTTGTAGACCAATTTCACAAGACTTAAAGACACATTTTGACGGTATGTTTTATGCTCCCAAACATTTGTTTTTGAGGATCACTGAAGGGGCATTAACTTTCGTAATGCGCTTCTGGTGCATTAAATTTGGTAGCGTTATTGTTATCAAGTATTATAAATAATGAAAAAAAAACAATGTGCCATTAATTTCTTTGAAATTAAAATTTTCAAGACAATAAAACTCATACAATTGAGACCAGTGTAAATCATTCATCACTTTGCGTATAGCTCCATATGAATAGGAAATTTTAACGCATGATCTGCTAACCTTTCTGGAGAACATGAGATCACTATCGGATTTTGGTTGGGTTCGAGTTGCTCAGTCTTTAGTTTTCTATGTTGTATTTGTAGACTGTTATTTCTCTTTTGGTCGTTTTCCGTTTTTTGTCATGGCATTTTCAGTTCGTTTTCGACATGAGTTTGACTATCTGTTTGGTTTCTTCCACCTATCTTTTACACAATTATTTTATTTCAGATGTACGTAACAATTACCTTTTGTGTTATCTTTATTTTCTTCTAACTGAGATATTGTTTCCTTGGCAGATTGTAACTCTTCATCAACTTTAATATATTCTTCTTCTACTTTTTCCAACCTTCTCTCTTGCTGTGCAAAGGAAACATATACTTCTCTGTATGAACTGTCAAGATTGGATGACATCAAAACATCACATTCTGTCTTAAACGATGCACCGCCAATTCGTTGAATAGCCTTAAAAGCAAAATCTGTGTTTGAGATACAATGGATCAGCGTACATTCGTTAAAAAGGTAGCATGAGCCCGGATGGTGAATGGTATCCTTTTAACGTACTAAAACTATTATTGTGACGACTTTTATCAATAACACTTCCTTTCGTAATTAGACCCTCCGATTTGTGAGCTTAAACAACCACCTAATTCTGTACACTACTATTCATCAGGTATCTACAGTCACGTTAAGGATTGAAATTGATACGAAACCGTATGAACTTACAGTATAACATGTATAAGGAATATGATTCAGAAATTTATCCATTATTGATAAAATAAAGCCTAATCGAGCTAATCTTTTCCATTTAAACTTAGTATTACTGAAAGAAAAATCATTAAATCCATTTTTCGATTCTTAGTTTTGATATTTAACGAATATGTCAAAATATACAGTGAAACATTTCAATGGCCATGAACATCAAGATTCAATGTTCTTATTTTCTGATGAATTACACGAAACAGTTGACAGTAATCAAGTAAAAAATATTATGATTTTCTCTTATTTCGATGATAACATAAACAAAAAAAGATGGAAAATCGAAACAGATATTTGAACTATGTCTACAAGTGTTACTTTCAATGTTAACTCTTAAACTCATCCTAACCTGGCAGCTTCCAACTTACATACATATGACAATTTTGTTTTATAATATACAAAGGCGCAAGCTCAAAGTATATATTGTACATCATCATATTGATATATGTGAAATCTACATTGGAATGTCCTCCGTTTGGTATTAAATCAATAAATCATAGTTATAAACAACATATATGTTTATAATGACAAAAACCTTATTGACCCATTCCATCAAAGATGGGATTACGTTCGCCCATCAAGGATGGGGTTACATTCGAATATAACACTGACATCTTGTAAAACTAAGTAAAAATATGTATGTGCCTTACAAATGTATGTTGAATATTCACAATACCCCAGTTAAACAAAGTTGAAATATGTCAATTTTAAAATGATTTAAAAAAAATTTATTATTGAAATCAGTTATTCAGGGAGGGATGCGGGGTATAATTTCAGTTTCCAAATGTTCCTGCCACTTTCAATCTGCAACTAAGGCGCCTTCTGATAACATCAGGGGAAGAAACTTACTTGGTAAAAATTTCTCCAACATAAAGTCAAAGCCGCTTTCTACAGTACCGCCAAGTTTGCCAAAAAATTATTTTTAATAAAAATTAGTATATAATCTAAGGACTTCATTTCAGTGACGGATTAAAGAGGTAACAGTTGGTCAATGAAAATGTATATACTATGAAATTTAGTGTGAGAGGCTGTGTACCTTTCCATTGCCTATCCTATTTAGCCTATATTTACAGCTCCAACATATAACAAACAAACATAAAAAAATATGATTTTAAGGTGGCTGGGGCGTCTTAATCAAAACTGATAGAATTTTTTAATAATTTGTCATAATGAAGTTTTTATCATGCTTTTTTCAAAAATATAATAAAAAGTATGGGTCACCGGACTTTTTTTCACGCTACAGGTTGTGCAAAATTGTCATATTTTGTATAGATTATGCATGGAAAATCAAATTGTGTGTGATAAAAAGAAAACTACATGATAGAATTTTAAGATAAAATGTGAGAAGATAGCTCTTATAACATGCTTTCAGATAAGAAAAAGAAAAAATGGGGTCACGGAACTTGTTTTCTTGCTACAGATTAAAATAAGTAAATTCACAACACTTTCTATTATAAAAATTACTTTATCTGAGTTATCTCCCCTTATTTGGCAAAGTTGAAAAAAAAATTATCAATCACAAATAAGGTGTTTTTTTTAGGAATTACAGCCGTAATTATGATAAAACCCACAACTTTCTATATTTACATCAAAAGTCTTACACATAAATTACATACTACTCTCAAAATTTGCACATTTCATCAAAGATCTAGACCAACGTTATCTGCTATTTCGAAATCCAAAATGGAGGAAGACTCCCGAGCCACCTTAAAAGGCCTTTTACTCCAAAATGAAGAGATGTTAGCTGCTGGTGTTCGAATATATATTGAGATAAAGAGATATCTACTTCTTTACATGGTAAGACGATAAAACAATTTGTCCCAAAAACAGGCATGTATAGTTAAGTGGCAGTGGGCGTTCTCCATGTTTTGAAGCATTTATCAATTTCACAGTAAAACTAAATCTGTGTTAATATAGACACTTATATAAATATACGACACATAGGTAGTATATCTGAGCCTGATAGACATGCAAAAGCAACAATCAATGATTATAGATCATTTTTTAGATTCCAGGTTTTGGAATTATTTTGTTAATTTCAAAGTAAAACTTAAGCTACGTCAAAATGTAGATATAAGAAGCACATTCCTTTCACTCATTATCATAGATTGTTTTTTTAGTTCAAGATGAAATTGCTCAAGTTCCTTAAGAATGTTTGAAAAAATTATCGCCATCATCATTATTTTATGTGACATTATTATTGTTTTCGTCAAGTATATATGATAAAATTCTAGTCCAATCAAGTTGCTTGATATTCTCTTCACATGGTTTCAAAGTGCATACTTTTTAGTTTTTAGTTTTACCACAATTATAGATTTGCGTTGTACCCTGATTAAGTTATTAAGAATCGTATTTATTCTTTACTTAAATGATAGTAACTTGTCTTAAAAGATATTTTTTAAAACCAATGATTTCAATTTTATCCCAAAATAGCCAGTGGCACCTATTGTTCTTAACATCTTAATTAAATACCCTTGTGATCATTCACCCATAGTTACTTGGTACACGGGAAAAGTATGTACTATGAAACTAAGAAGGAAAATTCAAGGAATTTGGACGGGGAAAGTTGGTTAAAAGCACAAGTAGCTTGTTTTTTGCTTTAATTTCTGCAAAAGATGAGGTTTGATAAAAGTCATCATCTGGCTTCTGAAATTGCAAATGAACGGACCGATATATTCTGGATATTTTAGTGCAAGTGCAAAAAGGTAACTTATGATGTTGCTATGACTTCATAACCATTTTAAAATCGACATGTATGACCTAAAATAATCATTTTACAGGTTTGTTTTTTGGTCAAAAAAAGATATCAACCAAGAACTTTCCCAAAACGGTTTTTATTACACACTCTTGCATGCCATCCTTGTAAACAACATTGTGTAGCATGATATTTTTTACGGTAAAGCCAATACTCTTACTTAAATATCAATGACAAGTTCTCAAAATGAGGCTAATTTGGTAGTTTTTAAATTTTGAACAAAATCTTTGAAGCCATAATAGAAATATGTAAGACAAAATTTTAAAATATAAATATTGGTGATTGACAGTCTTATGTCTTATGAACATCTGAAGTATGTTATTTGGTGAATTTATTATAACTTTTGATTTTTGAATTCAAGAGGACAAAAAAGAGGCCTTATCATATCTTCTTCTTTTGCAGTAAAAGTGTGGTGTTGACGCAAATGTTAAAAGCCGGTGTGAATACTGTTTAATGATCCACTACATCCATTTAAACCGAACAAAAAGAATTAAATTAACCACCACAAAACTTTTCAAGTGATCAAGATTTTCTACAGTCTCCTTTCAAACTCTTGATAATTCATAACAACTTGCACACATATTAATGTTATATACGACTAGTTATTGAATTGAATGTATAAACTTTTTTTTGTCTATATTTAGAAATAGTTTATTTTTCATAAGACACCAATCTCCCTTTTATCAATCAAAAGTATATACAAACCATATGTTTTTGCAATCACTGTAAAGTAAGCTTGTATTTGACACTTGAAATTAACTTGAGTACACCGGAAGTCGCTGATTATCTCACATGATTAAAAATTGCAAAAACAATTAATATCTCCATAGGCGACAATGGTTGCTTTTTCGACATACAGACTTCAAAAAGTTGATTTTATTAACTTAACCTTACTAGAATTAAAGACAAATAATTAGGGCAGTATTTCTTAGTCCAAAAAATATAGGTACCCGTTGCTTTTACTTATCTCCCTTGCCTATCAATTTTGCACTAAAAAAAACAGCGGTATACTACTATTGCCTAAAGTACACAATTTATGTATTTTTAAAATCAGTGTTTGGTAAACTTTTTCCTGACACCAGGTGTATTTTCTTCAATTTTTTTTCTATCAAGTGCATATGATGTAAGTTGGAAAACTTTAAATCGTTCTCTGAACGATTGATATCTTGTATGTGTATATCAATAATGTTCGGGCTAACATTTTTTTAAGAAGTATTATTGTACAAAGATTCGATAAATGGTTCAGTCAATTAATTTTTTTGTAGATCTTGTATTGAAGAGATGTAATTGTTTGCAGTTTTTGTCTATCTATTATAGTTCACGATAATAGCCAGACATGTTTTAATACCTAAATTTCACAAATGGTGGCAATAGTTCCTAGGAGAGGTCGACTGATTACTTTTGTAGAATCACAGAGTACGTAGATCTTTATATTGTGAACATCTTAATAAATAAGTCATGAATTTTGTATCTATTATAGTTTTCAATTATGAGACAGTTATCTTTGTGTATATTCTATTATTACCCAAAATATCCTTGTTCGATGTTATACTATCTAGACTTATTACTGAAACTGAGCTGCCCCATAAATCAATCTTGTGAAGTTTTATCTAAATTGGTTCGATAATTTCAGATAAGAAGATCTTTTAATGCGTTCATTAAGGTCCTATTCAACTTTTAAGTACCATTGTTTTACAGCAAGCATCAAATGTGTACGTACCTTTATAAGTACAAAAACAATGTTTGTACCAATTGAGTTCTTGAATAGTATGCAAAACCAGTTAAATTTCAGAATATTGTACTATACAAGTACTTTACAGATATTGTACCTATTTTGTATTTAAAATGGAATAAAAATAACTGGTCTTTTGTCTTTTAGTAGAAATTCAGTATCGTAAATTTATAGTGTTAAATAAAAAAAACTCTTACAAGACATTTAAGGAATTTGACT